TCGTATCCCCTTACCTTCATTTTCTTATCAATTGCTTTCGGTGTTAATGATAATCATCATTAGTTTGATTTGGCCTTAAAGCCATATTCTTTTATGGATGCCTCGCTTCGCGTGTTCTATAATTGACGACATTCATTTGGTTATAAAGATCAATGATCCTATCTTATCTAATAATTTCTCCTGAGTAAAATTAGATATATCCTCACATATGATTCAATAATATCCCTATCACAAATGCGAACTTATGAAGATGCATTAAGTCACACTAACATCAATTTGACCATACAAAGTATAGACAGTTATTCTTAACATACTATAGGACTTTACAATCATTGTTATTGCATGATAACTTTTCTATTCCTTCTTCCAAGCATCAATTCAATTAGTAGTCAATTAATTGAAAGCATTATAATCATCACAAGCATTCAAACCATATAATATATAAAATTTAATATAGAGACTTCAAGACATAAGTCCAACGCAATTCTAACATATATACAACTAGCAAAGAATCATAATAATTCAAGGAGACAAATTGTATAGATATAACATCAACCAAAAATTGAGATTTGGGAAGAAAGACGAAATTTTATTGAATCTTGAATCCCTTTAGTTAATGATTCATGAATTTTCCTTGGATGCCTTCTTCTTCTTTAAGCCCAAACAAGATATATGAATTTTTATGGAAATGTGCCTTGAATTGCTAGAATATATTTACAAGAACCTCATAGCTTCTCCATAGCTTTCCAAGAAATGATGTTTTTCTCTTCAATGGCTCTCTTTGAATTGTTAGAATATATGTACAAGAACCTCATAGCTTCCTTCTTTTGCGATTAATCAAAATAATGAAATACATCCTAATTAGTTTTCAAGAAGAGATTAGTCAAAATACAGAAACAAATCTTTTGTGCCGGGATTGGATGTTGCGATCGCAAAGTACAAATTGAAATAATATTGCAGCCAAAAACATTTAACTTTGACTCCTGCAGATTTGGCCCTCGCGTAATTGTTGTCACAAGGGTAGATAATTTCTCATTTGCATTTTAGTTCCTGATTTCTCTCTTTTGTCCAGCTTGAGTCATTTCTTCTTTGCTTCTTTAGTCTTTCATCATTAAATCTTTATAGTTTGGTCGTCCACATTTCTCTATCATCCTTAATTGATCTGATGCAAGTTTCAAAATTTGGTATAAAGTCTCTAAATTTTAAAACATTGGGTATCTCTCGAAACTTGTGAATCACCTCCAGTTGCATCCAATTAATCAATTGCAAATTCTGTTGATCATCAGTTGCTCTGAATAAACTCTAATAATATTTTAAAAATGCAATTTTTTTTCTGGTTTTACGTATAATTAATATAATTACACCTAAATTATGCATTATTACTGTCACAACACACGAGGAAGATTCCCATTGGGGTCATATAGCATTATTCACTTGCAAAATACTTCACCAAAAAGTCAAATTGCGGACAATATTGAATAATATATGCAAGTTCTATATTTAATTTTACCCTTAGATAGTTTTGCTTGTAAGAGTCATGTGTAATTGAACACAAAAATTAACGGAAATGTTAAAATGGCAAACTCCAAGGTGCTAGATATCAGGAATGTAAAAATTTGAATTTCGAGGTTAACATGTTTTGAAGATTGGAGACTAGCCCGTTTGAACCCCATTAAATTTAAGATTGATGAATAATGTGTAATTAAAAAATAAGAAAAATTTTTAAATTTGCGTGTAATGTTATTTTATTGAAGAATGTGTAGTGGAAAAGAATAAAGAGAAAAATATATTTTGAAAATAATGGAGATCAAACAAGGGATAAATATACAATTTCGCTAAAAAAAATGAGGAAATTTGAAACTTGAAAGGTTAATTATATCAACTCTATACTTTTTATTATTTGCACCACGTCTTAATTGTAAGTCTCCATCTTTTTTTTTTTTTTTTTTT